TCAGTCGCACACCCATCCCTTCACAGGTGCACATTTTCCACCACCAAGAACCCCAGTATACCCCCCTCTACCTGCCTGTGTGGCAGATTTCCACTTTACTCTCTCTCTCTCTACGTTGATATTATGACAAAAGACCCACCATTATTATTTGGAATTTTCCCCAACAATCAGACCTGCCAAAAAGACATCATTAGATAATTTGTTTTCTATTCTGATTATGAAGAGCATATGATGTCGCATGGACACTATTGTGGCCACACAATTTTGGATTTCTGATATTCTAGTAATAAACCTGGAGGGATTACTGGCAAAAGCCGCTGGGTTCTGAGATTGGTTATTGTGCCTCTGGGATAATCGTTGTTCAGGAGGCAGAGGAGGCATTCGTGGGTGGCAACCCGGGGCCTTGTCAGGGCGGGGAGCTGGGCCGGTTCCACTCCCAATTCCATGAGGCCCCACGTGTCTCATCACTGCAGTCTCATACCTGGCTGTCCATTAGGCTCTGAAAGATAGCGGGGCCTTCATGTTGCCGCCAGGGGGGAAAGGCGGAGGGATAAACACCTTTCCTCACCCGGGGCAGCATGGCGCCGTAGTTTAATGCACTGTCCAGATGCATTTCGGTTGGGCATTATATTTTGCTCAAATTTTCCCACCACCATACAAGCCTGCCTTCCAGGGACAGATGCTAGATCATTTACTTTCCATTGCTCACTTTGCATATCAGGAAAGGTTGTGTGGCCGCTTATGTGGCTGTGTGGTTCAGAAGAATAGTCCTGGTGCCCACATACCGGAGCCATGCTTGCAAAAGCTCATGGTCACTGGGATTCCATCTGGAGAAGGCAGGGAGACAGTACCTGCTCCATCTGGGACCTCCTGGAGATATCGGCTTGGTACAGGGCCCGGAGAATTCTCCGGGTTTTGTGGAGCCTGCTGGACAGGTTTCTTGACTGCTGGTCATATACTTATCTTATCCTGAGCCCATAGGCCCCCAGAAATCACCCCTTACTCTAAGGAGTCCTCAGTATGGTGCCCCAGCAACAGGCTCTGTGACAGGAGGGATTTTTCTTTTTAATATTTTGTCTTGGACATTTGAGAATGAGGATGCAGTGAGATGCCACTCTAAAGTATGCAGCTTTTCCTCAGGAGTGTCATACTCTAGCCCGTGGGAGTACCTGGAATGCTAAACACCAGGGACTTAGTTCAGACCTGGACCATTGCCACCAGTTCCTGGCCTCCCTCTGAGCTTTGAGTCTCTAAAGAGGATGACGTTTCTCCCTGGGTCTCCTCTACAGTAAAGGTGATGCTTGTTTAACTTTCCTGACTCTTGTCACTGACACACTCTGTTACAGAAAGCCCCAGAAAGGAACTTCATCAAGCAGGTGACCATAGGACTCAACAACCACCATAATGGTCTCTCCGAAAATGGCCCAAAATTGGGGGAAGGGGAAATCAGAGAGATAGAACAGGGGTTAAAAGCACATAGCTTGAATGTGGTCAAACCCAGATTAATCACTAACACCATGTGATCCCCCAGCACTTATGAGTGTCTCAAAGTTTAAATTTGGATTCTAAATCTCACTAGCTAAAATCTTTGGCAAATTCTTCCACTCTGCTTATTGCCCATCCTCCCCACGGCAAATTGGCATTCATTATTATTCCCTATCTCAAGGAGAAAGAAGTAGCAGGCAAACAGTTCCAGCATGGCACCTCTTTGATACCAGAATACAGTAAAGGAGTTTCCCAATCCCTCCCTCCTCTAATGAAGCATCAAAATGACAATGCTCAGAGACAGCTGGACATGTTGGGTGCATGCTTTGCAGGCAGAAACACTAGTTTTGGTCCCTGGTACTACATGATCCTCTAAACACCACAGGAAACACCTCCAAGAATTGCTGGATGTGACCCCAAAAATCAAAGACAATTAAAACACTTCCATGAACAAATTGAAGAAGCGTAATGTATAAGATATAACTGGATATCCATGAAGACTCTGCCTGTTGATCTCTTTTTTTAGTTCCATAGAACTATGCAGAGACCAAAATAACCCTAATCCCTATAAAAAGCAGGACTCTGGCCTTCTCCTGGTCCTACCATGCAGGTATTGGATGATGCCAGGATTCTGAGCCTTGGAGATTGCTCTCAGCACGCAGTACGTAGGCTCCTTCCAGAAACAGCAGCTGTGCTCCCGGAGACAGGTTGTGGCAATCACAAGAGATTGGAGCTCATTCCCTGAGAGGAGAGCCTCTAACCCCTGAGACTCACTGCAAGTGTTCAGCAACATCTGGGGAGAAAAACAGTCAAGAATAGTATTCAGTAAGACTCTTTACTGTGGCTGAGCTCTTCCCTACTTTTCCAGAGTAAAGATGACCATGGCTCAACTCAAAGAATAAAGTTATATGTGGTCACACTCCACCTAGAACAGCCTGGTTTTCAGAGCTACCTAGCAAACACAACAAAAATGAGGATAAAGTCTGAATTCACAATCCATATTCTAGCACTTTCCACATTTGGGGATTTATGGGGGGGCGAGGTAGCCATGCTGGTAGTGTGCAGGGCTTACTCTCGGTTCTGTGCTCAGGCAGACTTGGGGGACCACTTTTGGTGCTGGGGATTAAACCTGAGTCAATTACATGCAAGGCAAATGTCCTACCCATTGCATTATCACTCCAGTCCTAAATTTTACATTTTCCAAATGAGAACAGAGGGATGTTTTAGCTTGGAGAAATGGGTTTTTTTTTAATATAGAAATACTGAAAACTACCAACACTAATTAAAATATAGAACTAAGATAACCCAATGATATTTAAAGAGAGATGTGGTTCTGGGGAAGTATCTCAGGTAGGAGAGCACATTTCTAGTATGTCAGTAGTGGTCCCTATTTTTTTAAATGAATTATATGTATTATGAATCTCTGACACTCAAACTCTGCTTCTTTGTAAGAGAGTGGGTGTTATATAATAACTTCCTAACCAGAGGTCTTGTCTCCGCCAATCCCATATATATCCTTGTGCTTACCAGAGAACCTTCCAGTATCTCCAATATCTATCTTTCTATCCACTTGGTATATAAAACCCAAGGGTGCTAATGAGGCTCATCATTCAGGGCTGATCAAGAAACAGTCTTCTCCCTTCTCATGTCGAAATAGGCAATTCTCTCTTTGGTTCTCAAAGGTCTAACTGGACTACTCCAGTACAGTAAATATGGGATTATCCTTATCCTTGCACCAAATCCATTAGATATTTCTAAAAGAGTACAAGCACCCAAATGGGCATCCCTGGAATAGTTACAGAGCCCACTTCCCTCCCTGCCTCTTCTGCAAGTGACTGTGGTCACATGCCCTTTGGTTTGCTCTTATTCCCTCCCCCTGTTCACCCTCCACTCTCACCCTCAATTCTCTACTTTAATGCCTTTTTCTTTCACCGCCATTTTTCACGGTCATGGTCACGGTTCTCCCGTTGTTCATCAATTTGCTCGAGCAGGCCCAGTAACGTCTTCATCATGAGACTTGTTGATACTGTTTGGCATATTGAATACGTCATGGGTAGCTTGCCAGGCTTTGCCGTGTGCGCGAGATACTCTCAGTAGCTTGCCAAGCTCTCTGAGAGGGGTGGAGGAATTGAATTGGGTCGGCCATGTTGGTTGCATGCAAGGCAAACGCCCTACCCAATGTGCTATCGTTCCAGCCCACTGCCATTTTTATCTTCTACAATTCAAGTCTCTTTGTAATGATGTTCCAGTATCCCTTTGATCTTTCCTTCATCACACTTAAAATACTTATGCATGAGGTTGTTTCCCCCATTCTGCTTTCCCACCTCTTTCTCATCTCTACAAAAGAAGGCAGCATGATCATTCTGGGAACTGTCATTCTGGCATAGATCTTTACACAAGAGGAGCTTTTAGATGTTTGTGAACTGAAACAGGGAAACTTTGGGTGCATAGAAATATGGTCTATGATTGTGATTTGCATTCCATCCACTGTGGAAAAGAACAGGAAGATTGGGTTGCACTAGTTTCCCAAAGGACACACAAAAGCCATGAGGTTGAATTTCCCAGTGTGGTATCCTACCACCCACAACAGAAATGACTTACAGATGGATAAATAATTCCTATGAGTCTCCCCAACATAGCTTATCTATTTCCCACCATAAATGAAATCCACAAGAGCCTGTGAGATCCTTTCTGGCAACAAAGATCTGGTAAAGAATTAGTCCCTTATGTGTGTTGATGTGACATGCACTTTAAAGGACAGTTATGTTTGAAAATTCTCAGATGGTCTTGAGTACACGCACTGCTCAAGCTATCAGCTGCAACCATCAGTAAATTCTGCCATCTATCTGGCCCTTCTTCTGCCCTTCCCAGGTCAGAAAGATGTGACAGACATTTTTTTAAAGAATATTGTGTCCCAGAAGCTAAGAATACAGAATCTGTGGAAAAGGAGGCAGGGAAAGGAGATAAAACATTATGATGAGAGGCTGGAGTGATAGCAAAGCAGGTAGTGCGTTTGCCTTGCATGTGGCCAACCCGGGTTCAATTTCCAGCATCCCATATAGTAGTCCCCCAACTACCACCAGGAGTAATTCCTGAGTGCAGAGTCAGGAGCAATGGCTGTGCATCACTGGGTGTGACCCAAATGTGGGGCTTGAGAGATAGTACAATGAGTAGGGTGTTTTCCTTGCATGCAGCTAACTAGGGTTCAATCCCTGGCATCCCATATGGTCCCCCAAACACTGCCAGGAATAATTCCTGAGTGCAAAGTAGAAGTAACTCCTGAGCACCATGAAGTGCTGTTCAAAAACAAACCAAAAAAAGTTGCTACTGGAGGCTGGAGTGACAGTACAATGGGAAAGCTGGTTGCCTTGCATGCGGCCAATCCAGGTTGGATCCCCAGCATCCCAATTAGTCCTCCAAGCACTTTCAGGAGTGATTCCTGAGTGAAGATCCAGAAGTAACCTCTGAATACTGCTGGGTGTGACCCCAAAACAACAAAAAAAAGTTGCTACTAATTCTCAAAGAGGCTAGAAAAGAAGGATTATGATAAAAGAATACTTGAAGCCTTGTAGCCTCAGTGAGCTTGTGAGCAGAGAAAAAGAGGTGACACCATAGATTAGAAGTTTGAACATAAGTAGATTTGGGAATCAGAGTCCCAGGATGCCAACTCAGCTCCCATACATTATTCATGGTCACTCACCATATCTTAGCTGACAAGATATCAAGAATCAAGGGAACAACAAAAAAAAACATACACCGCAGATGGAAGGAGGGGGTCATAGAAGTGACAGGTTGCCAAGGTGGTCAGTGGACACAGGTGCTGCACTCAGAAAAAACATTACTAGTTAGACAAGTCAGAATAGCATGCTTAAGGCCAGAGAAGAATTTCTAGATGCCAGAGAAAGCACTGCCAAGAGAAGTAGCTGACAGGGCCACGTGAAGGAAGTAGGGTACTCTTTCTAATAGACAAAAAACAAAAGGAATGTTGACACAAAGACAGAAAAGAAGGAAATCTATTTTCAAATTTAAGGGTTTTCCTGGTATTGCAGAGTAGGAGAAAGCAGGGGTGAGTTGGGTGATCCTTTGATAAGAGAGAAACTTCTGGACTGGGAGTATATCAAAGAATCTCCAAGAAGCCAAAGGTCCTAACCACAGGAGAGTCAAGCCCCTTTCCTCACTCACCTGCACGAACATTCGCTGGACTTGAACATCACTCTCAAAGAGCTCCTCCTTGTCCAGGGGGAAGACAAAGAAGAGGTAGAGGCACTGGAGGAGCAGGGCTGGGAGCCCAGACTCTGCGACTCTGCACATTGTCTCCTGCAAGAGAAGAGCAGATATGAACTGAGGGGGAGGGCTGGGGCAGAGCCCACAGGGACCAGAGTGAGCAGAGAGCAGGGATAATGGATCAATCACTGTCCCCTGGTGGGCAACACATTCTAGACCAAAAATGGAGACCATCATAGGACCCACACAGTGGGACTAAGGGTACTACCTTTATATAAAATACAGTCTAGAAAGTAGACTGTAGACCAAACATGATGGCCATTTGGTACATGCATTGCAAACCATAACACCCAAAAGGAGAGAGAGAGAATAAGAAGGAATGTGCCTGCCACAGATGCAGGGGGTGACGTAAGGGATACTGGGAACATTGGTGGTGGAGAATTGACACTGGTGGAGGGATGGGTACTTGAACATTGTATGACTGAAACATAATCACAAAAGTTTGTAAGTCTGTAACTGTATCTCACGGTGATTCATTAAAATAAAATTTTTTAAAAAAAGAAAAATAAATAAAGTATAGCCTACATCACTGATCTTCAAGTTTCCCTGACACTATTTTGCTTTTATAAAGATAGACACTAGCACCTATTTTAGGAAACTAAAAAACATTATCAAATGATCCATTTTTACTTTTGACAACACAAGTCAAAAGTTTCTAAAAACTCACAGCATCTGTGTAGCAAGAACAGACGTGGAGCACCTTCTCCAGAAACTGTTTTAGACAGACTTCGTTTTGATGCGATTATTCCTGCTTGTACCATAGGTGGATGTGATTTTTAAGTAGGCTCTGTACTTTCATGTGATTTTTGGAATCTAGGGATGCTCAATTTTTTTCCCATAGAAATAAACTGGTAATAACTTCTTTTGCCTTAGTCAATTTTGGCTGAGGAAAGGTTTCATAGAAATGGTCTCTGTTTAGAAAGCAGAGGAAAGCTGTACTGTGTGTGTCCACAGCATTCTACCTTTAGAAACGAGACTTTAGGGATGAAAGAGAGGAGTGGGGAGAGAGCAGGGCGTAAGACTGGCTCAGAGAAACCTGGGCTCCCTTTAGCCTCTGAGTGAGGAAGTTACCTCCTGCCTGGGGCACCAGAAACCCCATCAGGAGTCATAACAAGTGCAAACTACTGACTTAAAGACTTGACCAGGATCTTCCCATGTCCTATTCCAGATCTAAGATCTCACCAAGACCAGAAATGCCTCTGGGCCAAGATCCAGAGCCAGACAGACAGGGGAGAAGGCAGGAAGTCGCAGAGAGGGAACCAGCCAGAATGGGAGCTTCTTGGGACTTTTCTATCATGGTAGGCTCTGCTACAGTCCCACAGGTTAAGTAGAAGAAAGCTCCACTCGGTTTCCCACCAGACTGACTCACCTGACAGCAAAGTAGAGGACGAGCTGAGGAAATGCAGTCTGTGATGAAGTGAATCAGGAATGAACTGTATGCAGAGCAAGAGAGTATCTGGCCCCACCGGTGCTTGACATCCAGGCCTGCTAGGGCCATGCACAGGACTATCCCTGCCTCCTCCACACTGCTCCGCTGAGAGCCAACTGCTCACTACTCCCCACACTGGGGACGGGCTACCTACAGCAGAAAGCAGGCCCTTCTGCCTCACTTTTTAAAAAATTTTTATTAGTGAAACACCATGAGGTACAGTTGTAGATTTACAATTTTTTGTGCTTGGGTTTCGATTATACAATGATCAAGTACCCATCCCTCCACCAGTGCCCATTTTCCACCACCATGGATCCCAGTATCCCTCCCACACCCATCTCCCCATCCCACCCTGCCTCTGTGGCAGGGTTTTCCCTTCTGTTCTCTCTCTGCTTTGGGGTGTTGTGGTCTGCAAGAGAGGCATTGAGTGGCAATCATGTTCAGTCCATAGTCTATTTTCAACATGTATCTCCCCTCCTGGGAGGATCCTCCAAACACCCTTTATTTGGTGCTCCCTTCTCTATCTGAGCTGCCCTTTCCCCTAGAGTGTCCAGCTGGCCTCCAAGCCATGGAGTAATCCTCCTGGTACTGATCTCAGCTATTCTTGGGTATTAATCTCCTATTTTGTTACTTTATGTCCCCCAGATGAATGCAATCTTTTTATGTCTATTCCTCTCTTTCTGACTCATTTTGCTTAGCATGCTACTTTCCATGTGGTACCACTTGTATGTAAAATTCATGACTTCATCTTTTCTAACAGCTACATAGTACTCCATTGTGTAGATGTACCAAAGTTTCTTTGACCAGTCATCTGTTCTTGGGCACTGCCTCACTTTTTACGACTCACCCTGCAAAACACTCCATCCCAGATAAGCCTCTGGCATCTAGTTGTGGAGTGGTCTAGACAACAGTGGTCCATACACAGAGACAAAGTTTGGGGGGTCTTCTGCCTCCCTCAGTTTCTTTCACCCCTCTGCAGCTGCTATCTGCATTCACATTAGATTGAGGGTGGCGGCTGCAGGGCCTCTGGAGAGAGCCCTAGATGGGCTCTTCATGTGGCCTCTGTCCACTCCTGCTTCTGGTACCAGTGCCCACGGGCTGCTCCTGCTGTTCAGACACTCAGCACCAGGTCTGCAATTCCTGGTGGCTCCTTCAGGCTGAGTTTAGTAGGAGGCATGAACCCAAACCTGATATTACTATAATCCCCACTCCTCCTCTCTACGAAGCATGAGTAGACAAAAGGCAGAGAATCCACCAGCCTCAGCCTGACAAACAGAAAATAGTATGTACACATCAGCTTGTTTTATTGTTGGTTGTATGAGGTGGGATGGCGTATTGGAAATGTGGCTTTTAGGTCACACACTTGGCAATGCTTAGGTCTTATTCCTGGTTGTGTGCTCAGAAATCACTCCTGGCATGCATCAGGGGACCAAGTAAGGTGCTTGCGATGGAATCTGGGTCTGCCGCATGCAAGGCACACACCCAACCAACTGTACTGTCTTTCCAGCCCCACATCAGCTGTGGTTAATCCTCGCATCAAGCCTTGAACTACAATTGTCTTTTCAGTTCTAAAATCAGCAACACAACAGAGTCTCCTGGAGAGGCTGACTCTGCACCTGCTCACCCGGACTGACATGCAGCTGAGCAACTAAAAAAGCAGAAGAAACTCAGACTGCAGTGCTCCAGTCCCTGCTGTCTATTGGAAGAGACTTGGGGAGGGAAAGGAAGAGTTTCGTGCATGACACTCTCGAGATGCGCCCCTGCCCACATGGACAAGCCAGCAGAAACTTACCGAGTCTGTGCCCATGAGCACGTACACCGACTTCAGGAGCAGGTAGCCATCCTGATCCACATCCCCCGTCCACCGCAACAGCTTCCCCGCAGCCACCCGTGCTTGCTCTGGCAATAGTGCAAGAAGGAGAGTATCACCCATGGGACAGGGAAATGAGCTTCCCTACCAGCTTCCCTTGCTGTTGGATGCTTGATCCATGAAAGGGGAATGTCTTCAAGAGACTTCTGTCTCCTGTTCTCCCAATTAACCATTACACTTGCATCTGTACCAGACATTGCATATTCTGTCATATTCATCTCCTTGGAAGACAGCTTTTAGCATGCCATCATCCTGTTCTGCAGCATTCAATGATTCCCAATTGAAAAAAAGGATGTGAAGAAACTCCCACACAATCCAGAGTCTTCCCTGGGCCCCTGGATTACACACACCTTGCATAGCAAGGATTCCCACAGTCTGCATCATGCTCAATCTCTCTGCGTCATCTCTTCCAGCCCATTAGCCCAACCCCAGGATCTAGCTCTGCAAGAGGAGGAATAAAATTCAGGAGGTCTCCCCAACCATCACGACAAAAAACATGTTTTGGCCACTGTGTCCTTCATGGATGAATCTTTCCACTTAAGAGTAACTTTTATCAAGAACTTCTTTCCAGAGCCTGTGTGTGTGTGTATGTGTGTGTGTGTGTGACTACACTCCTCCCAAGTCTGCTTCCCCTCTCTGCTAGTCTTTCTTTCTCTTCCTTCTCCAGGTGCTTTCTTCCTCAGTGACAAAACGGAGCTCACCAACTCTTTGAAGTCACTTCTCTAAGTCCACAAGAAAGCAGAGAGAGGATCAACCTGAAAGAGGTCTATAAAACTGTGTTGCTTCTCCCCAAAGTGTTCTCCAGTACTTTTCTTACCTGCAGGCTTTCCCACAAGTGCCTTCTGAATTTCTTGAGCAAACTGGTTGGAAACATCTTCTGCCAGCTCTTGGAGACTAGGGAAGCTGATGATTCCCACAGAGTGTTCCCATGCCTAAAAATGCAAATTAATTAATTAATTAATTAATAAAAACACACAGGATCCCATCAGGAAGGCCAAAACTATAAAAGCAATGCGTGAGAATCACCTTATTTCTCTCCTTACCAATAGCTGAATTCAATATATTCTCCCTAGGTTTATCTGAAAGGACTGAGAATTAATTGCCTACATTCACAACTTTCACCTTTTTCCAACCGAAGTGACTCTGAATTCTTCAACTTTCTTCTGACCTCCAAACTCACTACCTAGCTAGTCCCCGGACTTCCCCCTGAACTGGTGTTCCAGAAATGTCACCTGTAAGTAAGTAAATAACATTGCCTTTCCCCAAAACCAGTTCCCTACCAAGCACCCAGTTGCTCCTGCAGAAAATTCCAAGAGTTACTCTTCAGGGCTCCCACTTCCTCACCTTCCTTATCCCATCCATTGCTATGTTGTACTAATTGTCCTCTTACACACTTCTCAGATCTTCTGCAGATAGTTTAGTTTCAGTCATGTAAATATTTCCTTCAGATAAATTATCAGAAGTGAGATTTCAAGTTCAAAGAAAGTGCAGTCTTAAGATACTTTGGTATATTATGATCTTATTCTCCAGAAGCCATGCTTATTCCCAACTACAAAATTTGCGGAAGAACAAAGACCACATCTCGTTTGCAATCTTTAAGTAACAAAATTGAATGAATATCATGTTGGTGGGAACGCCTACTGTCTAGTCTCTCTGGAACACAATATGGAAATTCCTCAAAAAAAAGCTAAAAATTGAGTTTCCATACAATCCAGCAATACTGGGAGCATGTTCCAGAGACTCAAAAACACACTGCAGAAAAACCATCTGCACGTCTCTGTTCATTGCAGCACTATTTACAATAGCCAGAATCTGGAAACAACTCGAGTGCTTGAGAGCAAGTAAGTGGATGAAGAAACTATGGTGCATCTACCTAATTGAATACTACATGCCACCAGGAAAAATGAAGTCATGAAATTCTCTTATAAGTGGATGGATATGGAGAGTATCGTGCTGAGTAAAATGAGTCAGAAGGAGAGAGTCAGACATAGAATAACTTCACTCATTTGTGGGATATGAAAAAACAAAGTATAAGACAATATTCAAGAACAGTAGAAAAAAGGGCCCAGAGGACTTGTCGATGGTTGGAAGCTTGCCACAGGTGGTGGGAGAAGACAGTTGGGATAGATTAGGGACCACTATGACAATGATAGTTGGAAATGATCACTTTGACAAGAACTGAGTGCAGAAATAGGTAAAAGGACAAGCATGATAACTTTTAGGTTCCTGTATTGAAAGCCATAATGTCCAAAAGGAAAGAGAGCAAGAGTGAGAGAGTGAGAGAGAGAAAGAGAGAGAGAAGAAAATGCCTGTGGGGGGGGAGGTGTGGAGTAGGGGAAGTGAGGGTTTAGAGGAGAGGAGGGGGTGAAGGAGGGAAACTGGGGACACTGGTGGTGGGAAATGTACACTGGTAAAGGGATGGGTGTTGGAACATTATATGACTAAAACCCAATCATGAACAATTTTGTAACTGTGTGATTGAATAGTGATTCAATAGGTAAAGGTAAAGGTAAAGGTAAAGGTAAAGGTAAAGGCCCTCCTGTTGATCGTCGATTTGCTAGAGCGGGCCCAGTAACGTCTCCATTGGAGACTTTGTTGTTACTGTGTTTGGCATATCGAATACTCTCGGTAGCTTGCCGGGCTCTCCGAGAGGGGTGGAGGAATCGAACTCGGGTTGGCCATGTTGGCCGCTTGTAAGGCGAACACCCTACCGCTGAGCTATCGCTCTAGCCCCCAGCTCCAGTGATTCAATAAAAAGATAAAAATAAAATTAAAATTAAAAAAATAAAATGAAGGACTTCTTATCTTCTTGCTAGAGATAGTATTTTCACAAAGTGTAAAAACCTTTTTAAAACTTTCTATTGAAAGACACTGTAAACAAAATGAGGCAAACCACAAATTGGAGGAAATATATCAGTATCTATAATTGACAAAACATATAGTATCCAGATGAATAAAAGAATGACCAATAAACTGGTTTTTTCATGAAAATGAAAGATAAAATAATTCTTTTTTCTTTTCTTTTTTTTATTGAATCACCATGAGTTACACTTACAAAGCTTTCATGCTTGAGTTTCAGTCATACAATGATTGAACACCCATCCCTCCACCAGTGCACATTTGCCACCACCGATGTCTTCATCCACCCTATCCTTCCCCTCGTCTCTGTGGCAGACAGTTTATCTCTTACTCTCTTTGCTTATGGGCGTTAATGGATGAACAAGTAATTTTTTAAGGGCTGGTAAGGTGGGTAAGGTATTTGTATTTCATGTGTCTGACTGGTTCGATCCCCAGCACCCCTTGTGATCCCCCAAATACCACAAGTAGTTACCTCTGAGTATCATTGGGTGTGACCTAAAAGGTTTTTAAAAAATAAATTCCTTGAAGGTAAAATAAATTACTAATTGCAAGTTACTAATAAGTAAAATAATGAAAATGAGATATGAGATATTAATTTTATCCTTTATCAGTTGAAATAAATGAAGTCTCAAAGTACAAAACGAAGGTAAAGACCAGGAGAAGGTGTGGCACAGAAGAACCTCTGCAAAGTTTTTAGCCCAACCCAATAAAGCTGACACCTAGATTTATTCCCCAGGGAAATGTTGGCAAAATGTGCAAACGGAGCTACAGGCAAGAAATATGACTACAGCACTATCTGATACTGTGAAAAATTAGGAGAAGTTAATTTTAATACTCAAATTAAAAAATTAAAAGTTTTTTAATTAAAAACTCAAATTAAAAATGATGTGTGAATAACTTGTGGCATTCTTAAATAATAGGGAACTGTGAGGAAAGACTGAAGGAGAACTATAGCTATATGTGTCAATACAGAGAAAACCCAGAAACAGAATGTTGAGTGTCAAAATCAAGCTGCAGAAGTATATTTCAGTATGATTCGACAAAACCCTCTGAAACTGTATTGTTATACAATATTGCTGTGGTTATATTATATATGTGCAAAAGTATACCTATGTAATATTCATATGTATGTGTGTATACATATATACCCAATATAAAAATGATAATTAAGTATATAGGTTACCAATGGAGGAAGAGAGAAAAGGAATGAGCTCTACTTGAGTATTTGTTTTAAGCAAAACCTATATTGCCTGAAATATGTTTATGTTCTGCCCCATAAATGGACATAGTTGTCCTTTGCTTTGTAAATGAAAAAGTAATACAAACATTGCTAAATTATGAATGTTAAAACTAGTACACATTATGAACCTTCAAAAATTATTCCAACTAGTGAACACATAATTAGGAAGCTCACAACACAGAGAATAATGGCCAGATGCATTGCTACCAGCTTGTGCCAATTTCTGGGCCAAGAACTTATACTCTTGTTCCCACGAATCCTCACTGCACCTTTTTGGTAAGTACTATTATTATTATTCCCATTTAACAGAATGAGACTAGGCTTGAGGTTAGTCCCAGAGAATCAGTTAAGTAGCAGAATAAAGAGCAGAATTATCTCAGGCATATGCAAATAATCCCAAGCAGCTTGCACATGTCTGAGAAATTTATGACCAGCACCTGGAAACTGCCTAGCTAGCACCCAGGAACTTTAAACCCTGGAAAGAAAACTCAGTGCTTTGGGCTGGGAATTTCTGTGGTAAGATAACTTCCCTCCCCAGGACAGAAGTCTCTGCTATGCTGTCTTCCTAACCAATTCTGTCCTTTCTCCCTGCATTGGCAAACCCCTCAAAGACCAATTTGCAGGCAGTTGACTCAGAAGCATCTAGATCGTCTTCAAGCCGTGGGACTCTGGGAGGCACTCTACAATAAAGCAAATTGGGCCTCTGTGAGTTGAACAGTAATTGTACGCTCAGCCAGATTCTCCCAAGGCTCACACTCCTTCCGGGGACAGCAATGGACACTTCTGGAGGCCATGTTAACTCTTTCAGGCCACCGGGGTGCTGTTTGATGCACGGATGCAATCATTTACTGAATGGTACCGTGGAGACTCCAAAGAGTTAAGACAGTTTCCAAAAGGACCTCATTTTTTTCTCAAACTGGGACTTGCATGCTGGGAGAATATTGCTCAATATTTTAAAAATCTTTTATTTACTCACATTATCTAAGCTGCATCATCATGCCTGGTGACTGTCCCCTCATATGGAAGAAAGAGAAAGAAAATGATGCCCTGTTCCCCAAAGGAAAATAAGGAATGACAAAAAAAAAAAACACAAAACAAAACAAAAAAAATTCTTCTGATAATATGAGAGGAAACCCTAGCCTTTGAATGACAAAGAAAACAGGGTTAGTTTTCAAATAGAATCAAAATATTCCTATTTATTTATTCTTGCTGAGTTGGGGTGGGAAAGGGTGTGTTTAAGTGAGCTCCAGTATTTCAGACATGCATCTCCTCAGCAAATATGATGCCATTGACCTTCTTCTAGGTAAATATTTTCAGTAATATATCAAAACTTCACTAACGCAATTAACAAAGTATTTTTTCTTTAAGATGGTAATAAATCATGTTGAAGACCTCCACGCTGAGCTAGGGTAGAGTCAGGAATCTAAAGGGAGAGGTATTTGTCCTCTCTAGGCAGCTAGGGAATAGTTTTTGGTCACCCCTTTTATTCTATTTAATATTACTTAATTCTTATGCAAGGTTAGTTGGTGCCACATTTGAGTTTTACAGTAATAATTGATCTCACTCATTTTTATGAACCCTGTGCTACTGATTGGGCAGAGTCTTAAGAACCAAACCCGTACACATGTTCATATACACACAAGAATGTGTGCACACACTTGTATGCTCATCTCCAAGTACAGTTCATTAATACTAATTCTTCCACACTAGGAAATAAATGGATTCTCTACCTTGATACTCAATGTTTCATGGTTCTGCTGCTAGATAACAGATAATCTAAACGGAGCAAATTTTTAAAAAATAATTGTTATTTATTTTTATTGTTATTTTTGC